TTTTTTTTAGTCATTTATCATTCGATCTAGCTTTCAATATTTTTTATTTGTATTCAATTTAAAATAAATGATTAACGAGAGTATTTTATGTATATATCAATCCATAGAGGTACGTCAAAAAATTATTTTAATGCTTAAACAAAATATAACAAAAATAATTTAGTATTTCGCATCTATTTATTATGTTCTAATAGCTTTAAGAAATTAATATCTAAACTCAACAGTAGTGTTTTGTTATGTAATGTAGCATAACACCATATATTGTGCATTTTATATTGTATATGCAAACCTATACAAAAAGATCATACTCAGATATAAGTTTCTTAGACTTAGATGGGATTGAAGCAGGGCTGTGCATGCGTCAGGTCGGGTCAGATTTTTGTGCCGACTCGACCCAACTTGATTTTTATAGGTCAGATATTTTGACCCGACCCGTTTTAATTTGATCCAAATCAGGTCTGACTTGGTTTGAATTTTTTTGAACTAGTTCAGAATTGGGTCGGATCTGACGTGACTTAGTTTCTGAAGTTTTTCTGACTTGGTTTCTAAAGTGGGTCAAATTTGACCTGACCCGTTTTTGACTTGGTTTCGTCACAAAATTTTGTCAACATTTCTACGTTTCAAACGATGAAAATTTCGTCATAAAATTATTTTTTCGTCGGAATACTTTTTGTTAAAAAGCGACGAAATTTTTTCTCTAATGAAAATTTTTACAAAAATAAATTTTCTATCGAAATTTAGTTTCCGTCAAAAGTTTTGACGAAAATGATTTCCTCCATCAAATGTTTTAAACGAAAAAAGAATTTCGTCAAAAATTGACGTAATGTTTTTCGTTCAAAATTTTTCGACGGTAATTGTTTTGAGGGAAATGTTTCATTCGAAACTTTCGACGAAATTTAGATTATCTAAAGAATTTTGACATAATATTTTTTTCGTCAAAATTTTTTTTCTAAATATTTTTTGACAAAAATGTGTTCCGTTGAAAATTTTGATGGAAATGTTTTTTTATCAAAAAACTTGACGAAAATATTTAGTCGAAAATTTTCGATGGAAATGTGTTTCGCTAAAAATTTTGACGAAATTTTTTTTTTTGTCAAAAAGTTTAACGAAAATATTTCCGTCGAAAACTTTTGCTGAAATTTAAATTCTGTAAAACAATTTGATGAAATTTTTTTCCGTCAAAAAATTTCGATGAAAATGTGTTTCGTCAAATTTTTTGATGAATATGTTTTTTTTTTTGAAATATTTTGACGAAATTTAGATTCCGTAAAAAAATTTGACAAAAAAGAATTCCCGTCAAGTTTTTTTACCGAAATATTTTTATTCATAAATTTTGATGAAAATATTTTTTTTCGATAAATTTCGATGGAAATATTTTGCGTAAATTTTTTTGATGTAATTGTTTTACGTTAAAACTTTTCTTTTAATGTAATTGTGTTTTTTTCTTTTTTTTTCACATAATGGGTATGGGTCAAGTTTTGGGTCAATGGGTCATTATTAAAACAAGTCAGGTCTAAAACTGACCCAAATAAAGTGAGTCAGTATTTAAATTTTTTTAAAAAAAAAATAGATATTTATGGGTCAGGTCAAGGTCATACCAAGGACAGGGCAAGTGAATCAATTTTTTTGCACTCCCCTAGATTGAAGGGCCAAATGCTATAGTTGATTATAGTTTCAACCCATATTTTTAAAGTTAAATTAAGGAAATAATATGTGTATTATTTGTTTCGTTTTTTATATTGATATTAAGAATTTTTTTTGAGTTTTGACTACTTAGTATTTGAAGTAACAAACATTAATATAAATTATAAAACATATATAGATTTTTTATTTTTGAAAATGTAAGTGATACATTACTTGCCTACTAAGCTAGCAAAGTATCATTTCCTAAAAGATTCTAGATTAAGAGATTAAATTACTATGAAAAAATAAATTCTAATTTAATATGTAGTTGTGCATTCTCTCTTTTTTTTTCAGTTCCTTTACTATATTTTTTTTGGAGATATTCCAATTGGTTAATAGTTTTGTGATTAGTTCGATTCGAGACGGGTCACAAGATTAAGGTTTTAAATTTCTTTCAAAGCTGGTACTGTTAAAATTTTAAATTTTCAAATGAAAAGATTGAATGGTATAGTTTGAAAAAAAAAACTAAAGTTAGAATATTACATGAACAGATTTGAAAAAGATTTTTCAAATTGGTAATATGTTAAAAATAATATTTAAGAAAAAGACATTACTTTATACAGAACAAACTGCATAGCTGGTTGAGAGCGGTAATATGTTAGAAGACTACATTATTGAATATTTTGAAGAATAAAGACCCTAATTTAATATATAGGAATAAATAAGTAACAACCTTAAGTTGATCACGAAATACATTTCAATAGTAAATAGTTTTTTTTTCATTATGTTAAATTTCTACGAAAATAAATATAAAAAATAAAATTGTGATTTTTATAAATAAATTTAAAAATATCAGCTGATCAAGGAAAAAATAAAATATAATTTGGCGAATCCTAACCCAATTCAAAGAAAAAAAATAACTATAAAATTATTCTCTTAAAAGTACCAATTATAATCAATCATGAGAATTAGTTTTAATTTATCTTCTTAACGCTATGTGATGAGATTGAGCAGATACAAAGGTCTTTTATTTGGGGAAATCAGGATAGCAGAAGTCATGCTCATCTAGTAGCATGGGATCAAATGTATAAACCTAAAGATAGGGGTGGCTTGAGAATAATCAACCTTCGTATCCAAAGTGAGGCTTTTATTCATAAGTTGGCTTGGAAGGTATTAACCAAGAAAGATGAGTTATGGGTGAAGATTTTATTAGCCAGTATGGTAGAGGTCAAGACCTAAGGAGAGGTATAAAAGCAAAATCGTATGACTCTAAAATCTGGCGTGATCTTGCTAAGTGTTGGAGTAAGTTCCTAGATTGACTTAGATGGGAAATAGCAGATGGTTCTGATGTAAAGCTTTGGACTGACAACTGGTTGGGATGGGAAAACACTTTGTTGCAGCTGTCGAATAACCAGGTTCCGTGGGAAGAAAGTCAGAAATCAATTGCGGATCATATGGTGGATGATGACTTCAGTCTTGAAGTTGTTCACCGATTCCTTGATTCAGATATGGCTGTTGCAGTAACAAATCACTTAAGGCTCATTCCAAGGAATGGCAAGGATAGATTAGTTTGGATCAATAACCATAGCTCAACTTCCTTGGTTAAGGTTGCTTACAATAACCTGATGAATTTTCCATAAGCTTTTCATGCTAGCTTATGGAAAAGAGTTTGGACGTGGAAAGGACCAGAACGGGTGAAAGTGTTTATGTGGATGACTTTGCTCTATAAAATACCGGTGCGTAGCAGAACAAGCAAATGGAGTGGAGGTCCTAACATTTGTCCTAGCTGTCCTACTCATGAAGAAACTATACTCCATGTTTTACGTGATTGTAGACATGCGAGGAAAATTTGGCAATTTTGGTTTAAAGGTACGATACCAAACTCTTTTATGATGTTGAATTTGCAGGATTGGCTGACTTCCAATATAGAGAACTTGTGGGTTTCAAACGAAGTGAAGGACTGGAGGGATATATTTTATACTACTGTTTGGTTTTTATGGAAATGGAGAAACTTGGAGATTCATGATGATCATTTCCGACGTGAAGATCAGTCGACAACAACGATTTGAAATTTTATTCAACAAATTGTGCAGTTCCGGTTTCATCATGGGCGCTTAGGTACCAAGGATAGCAGTTGGATAGCTCCTCAACAAGGATGGGTCAAGTTGAATTGTGATGGAGCCTCTTCTAGTAGATTGAAAAAAGCTAGTTGTGGTGGTATTTTAAGAGACCACACTGGATCCTTTCTGGGAGGTTTTTATCGTGCTATAGGTTTTTGTAATCCTCTTGATGCAAATTATGGGGATTATTGAAAGGTTTGGAATTGGTTTGGGGTACAAGCTTAAAAAAGATAGAAGTAGGATGTGATTCTAGTCAAGCCATCCAGATTTTGAAGGAGCAACATGAAGATCCTAGAGACTCTCAAGTTACTAGAAAGTTGAGATTATGGTTAAAAGCGGACTGAGCCATTCATCTAGTTCATACAAAAAGAGATAACAACAAGTGTGCTCATTGGTTAGCCAAAGCTGGTCAGAATGAAAATCTTCACTTAAAGATTTTTAAAGAACCCCCTCCTCAGTTGATGGGTCTTATAGATATTGATGCTAGAAATACGTCTAGCTTGATAGTTTCTGAATTGTAATTTCCTTTTCTTTTTGGGGCTTAGCCCCTCTTTATTTACAAAAAAAGAGAAGAAGAAGCCAGTTTCCATTAAAATTATTACTATAAGAATATGGGATAAGATATTGTAACAACCAACTAATGTTACTACCAATCAATTTTACCGTTAGATCGATTATGTTGATCCAACGGTTATATTTATTTACATCTTTGTATGGTTAGGATTTCTCATATTTAATACTTTATATTTATTTTCACCTTTGTATGGTTATGATTGTCCATATTTAATGTAAAACATTAAATATGAAAAATTCAAACCATACAAAAATGGAAATAAATATAACTGTTGGATCAATATAATTGATCTAACGGAGAAATTGATTGGTAGTAACATTGGTAGTAACACGAGTTGGTTGTTACAATATCCTACCTCTAAAAATATTAATTAAATATTTTAATTTTTTAATATTAAGTTATAATATTTAAAACGTTTTCATGATTCTTTATTATTTACACCAAATAATAATAACTCATATATAATTGTCATCGTCTACTTTATTTATGTGAGATTATGTTTTTGTAAAAACTTATTAAAATCTTTTTTTTTTTGGAAACATTATTAAAATACTTAGAATAGCTCCAATCGTATTAATATTTTCGGGACCGAGCTTCTGACCTTCAAGTGGCCCAGCCCAGCCCAGCGACGACGTCGTCTTTCCCGTAATCGTTGTGCAAAATTACTGTTGGTCTACCTCACTCTTCAATGGCAATGCTCTGATTTTCTCTTTCTTCAAGCTCAGTCCAACCTCTCTCTCCTCCCATGAGCCCGAAGCATCAGGTAAAAAAAATCCTTAACCACAATTTGTTTTCTTAGTTTCATTAATGATGTGAATTGCATTGTCGCTGATTCAGATAAAGCATTGAATACTTAGGTCTTCGGTTTCCAAAATAATTGTATGAATTAATAGAAAACCAGATTCACTTATATGACTTTGAGTAGAAATCTCCAAGTATTTTATCTCTCAACCCCAAAATCCCAAGTTATTTTGACAGCATTCTTTTCCTAATTCCGAGTTGGAATCAAAGTGGGTGTATATATATGTCAGGAATCGGGTGTTTTTATCGGTAATTAGGTTGTGATGGAGGATTGGTACCTTATAAACTGGAGTTACAAAAAACCACAAGCTTTTCCGTGATTTTATTTATATTGAGGCTTGATTGATTCCTGTCTTTACACTATTATATTACTTTTAGCAGGATCTTATTGTATTCTCTTCTAGTCATTAGCTATTAAAAACCACGCATATAATGCTAAATGCCTATGTCTTGCATATGTGTTTTACATGTTGAATCTATATAAAATCTTTTTTTCTGTGATTACTGTGTCGATGGTAGCTATAATTAAATAAAATGCGTCTTACTTTGATGTGGAAACAGGGAAGAACACAAGTTATAAGTGTTATGTCCACTAGCTCATATAATATATACATACTCAACTTTCACATCCTTAGAAGTCCAGATTTTGAGCAATGGACAATGATGAGTTGAAGGTGCTTTAACCAAGTAAAATCCTTCCCAGTGCCGGAATCAATAGCTTTCTATAACATTGTACAAAATGGCTTTTCAGTCATTCATCTCTAAGTATAAAATCTTACCCTATTTCTTTGGTCCTCTTGTCCGACACAAGCGCCACTGCCATCACTTCCACTCTTTCCCAATCCCACAAGCCTCGGGGCCATTATTACCAGACCTTGTGAATGAAATATCTCGTCTACTCAGTGATCACCGACACCCTCACCATGATCTAGAACTCTCTCTCAACCCGTTTTCAGCACAAATATCCACAAATTTGGTTGAACAGGTCTTGAAGAGGTGCAAGAATCTTGGATTCTCAGCCCACAGGTTCTTTCTTTGGGCTAAATCAATTCCAGATTTTCAGCACAGTGTTGAGAGCTTCCACATTTTGGTGGAAATCTTGGGAAGTAGTAAACAATTTGCCATACTTTGGGATTTTCTCATAGAAACAAGAGAGTCCTGTTGTTGTGAAATCAAGAGTGAAATTTTCTGGCTCATTTTCAAGGCATATAGCCGGGCTAATTTGCCAGATGGAGCAATACGGTCTTTCACTAGAATGGATGAATTTGGAATTAAGCCAAATATTCATGATTTTAATAAGCTTTTGTACAGTTTATGCAAAAGGAAGCACGTCAAGCAGGCTCAAGAATTTTTCGATCAAGCTAAGAGTCGTTTCCTGTTAACTGCTAAAACTTACAGCATTTTGATTAGTGGATGGGGTGAGATTGGTGATACAGGAAAGGCTCGTGAGCTGTTTCAAGCAATGCTTGAGCAAGGATGTCCAGTGGATTTGCTTGCTTATAATAATTTGTTGGGGGCCCTCTGCAAAGGAGGTCATGTGGATGAAGCTACAAATTTTTTTCATGATATGTTGTCAAAAAGAGTTGAGCCAGATGCTTTTACTTACTCTATATTCATTCGCACATATTGTGATGCAAATGACATGCATTTAGCTTTCAGGGTTCTTGATACAATGAGAAGATATAACCTTTTGCCAAATGTGTTTACATACAATTGTATTATAAAACGACTTTGTAAGAATGAAAATGTGGAAGAAGCTTATCAATTGTTGGATGAAATGATTTCAAGTGGAGTAAAGCCAGACACTTGGAGTTATAATGCAATACAAGCCTACCATTGTGATCATTGTGAGGTCAATAGGGCTCTAAGGTTAATGTCTAGAATGGAAAAAGATAACTGTCTTCCTGATCGACATACGTATAACATGGTGCTCAAATTGCTGATTAGGATAGGAAGGTTTGATAAGGCAACTGAAGTATGGGAGAACATGTGGGACAAAAATTTCTATCCTTCTGTCTCAACATATTCTGTCATGATTCATGGTCTTTGTAAGAAGAAGGGAAAGCTAGAGGAAGCATGTAAGTACTTTGAGATGATGATTGATGAAGGAATACCACCTTATGTTACTACCGTTGAGTTGCTGAGGAATCGGCTCTTGGGTTTAGGGCTTTTGGATCACATTGAAATACTGGCCGATAAGATGAGGCAGAGTACTTCCTGTTTAATCCAAGAATTGACTAATATTATGATTGGTGTTCGAGCAGCTCGTAATACTTTGAGATATGATGAGACGGACATAGAAAGTGACTGAAGAAGTGGCTATTTGTTTCTCAAAATTGTTACGCAGGGAAAATTGTTATGGATGAAAAATACTTCATCCTGTTTTAACTTTTAACAGGTACGTGGATGCACCCATTTATTTACAGCCGAGCGCATAATGTAGATTGTTTTTCTTTGGGCAGTAGTTAAATGATGCATTTTAAGGTGCGGAATATAACTATGATGCTTATTGTAGTATGCAGATGCTGATTTATGTAAGTATAGGTGGAGCAAATAATAATGGACACATAATATATCTCAATAATTTATTTATTTATTGGTATTTTCTCTTTCTTTTGGCATTACTTTTCTCGCATCCTTTCTTTAAATGTTCCTATTAACAAATGTGCATTTTGCTTTCCGGTAATTAGTTAAGCTTGCTCATTAGGAGGCGGCTTTATTCCCATTCCTACATTATAATAACTTTTCTTTATAGCCAACATTTTTTATTAATGATTATAGATGTGCATTCAAGAAATTGATTGCTTCTACACGCGGATGATACTTTGTGGTCGTGAAGAAACCATTCCTAGCAATTGCTGTACTTGATCTCCAAGTTTCCCAAGAATTCTAGTAAAAAATTTCATGAGCAATTTTCCTCTCTGTCATGCAGACTTGACTAGGTCCCCGTCATGACTCACGACATGGTGACGATGAGAGCTTTGTTACATACATAACGCATTACATGTTTGAAGGAAGGGAATGGAACTTGGGATGGTCGTTTCCATTGGCGCGGCCATACCAAAAGTGGGTGCTCCCCATTTTCCCAGAGATTGAGAAGCAGCAACGCAGCAAGGGAGCAATTGATAAGACAGAGAGGTTTTGAAGACTCAGAAAGAAGGGAAAAGGAGTGCTCTCTGGAGTCCCTAGTCCCCACTAATCACTTGATAGAGAAAATAAATGAGGAGTATATAGAGAATGTGATGGCTTTCTTAATATATATTCGTGAAATTATAGATTTATTTGTTTAATTTTTAACTTGTTAAAAAATTTACTTGTAAAGGTTAACAATTATTCACTTTTTTTAGTATTCAGGGAGAAAAATATATTATTAATATTTGTAATCATTTATTAAGATTATGGTAAAATTTATGAACCTTGTGGGAGTTGTAAAATGATGTAGCAATCAAATATTTGAACTTTAAGATAAATCTCCTTTAAAATAAGTTTATTTTTAAAGTGGGCAAGTAAAAATATATTTATTTTTTATTTAATCTAAGGTGTATCGTAAATTTAATTTATTAAAATTTAAGGGTGAATATATATTTATTTGTTTACCTTAAAGGAAATATTACTTTAGAATATATTTTTTCCTAGACTTTAATATGGGAAGCAATTAAGTTCTCTACCCATTACTGTATTAATTTTTAAAAATAAAATAATTTAATCTAATTTTATAAGAAGATTTTTCTTTTTGTGGGGAGAGAGATTTAATTCAATGATTATAAAGAAAAAAAAAAAATTAAATCTAAAAGAAACCCAAACCGAATCCGTTGTTTTTTGGGATTTCAATTTGATAAAATTACGTTACGGAAATCACACTTTTTGTTGTTATTTCAGTTTTCGTTTAATTATCCTGAAACTCGTACAAAATTTGTTTAAACCGAAAATTTCAAGTAAATAAACTCTAAAACTCTTCATACCCCAAGCCTTAATAATATTTATATATTTTTGTTAACTTTATATATATAACTTAAATAAAAACGATTATTATAGGTCATGTTAATTATTTTTTATGATATCAAAAAATTTATAATAATTATTAATTTTTATTTTAAAAAAGTTTTTAATTAAATCTTAATTACACTTTAAAAACTTTTCTTCAAATATATCGTATATTAAGTAAAATATTTTTATATTATGTTATCTTGTATATGTTAATAACATTAAGTAAAATATTTACATATATTCATAAAAACTTTAATGTAATTTGTTTCAATATCGTTAATATAAATAAAATAGGAATATATCATCAATGAAGTATGTATTAATTAAATAAAATTGTACAACCATTCAAATATTTTATTTTTAAGGGAAGATCATCAGAGAGCTAAAAGAAAACTCACAATCGCGATGGAAAAGTTGAAATTATGTGATTTATTTAAATATTTTTATTTACAAAAATTTAAAATTGAGACTAAAATATAAATAAATTTATAAACATGCAAAAAATAATTCTTGGGTTTTTTTATTGATATACTTTGTGATAAAGTGTGGTTTTTTTTGGTAGATTTTTTTAATTTATTAAAAATAATACATTTTGATTGTTATTTTTATAAATCAATTTTTTTGAAAGATTACAAATAAAAAGTCAAAAGTATATAAATAAAAGGAATTAAAATTTATTTAAAAAATTAAATTTACATAATGAAAAAATTAAAAATTACTACATGAAAATATTTAGAAGAAAGAAAAAATTGCGACTCAAAATCATTTTACACCAATATAGATTATATTCTTAATTTTGATCGTTAATCATATTTTTATCTAACAGTTCTATTCTAAATTATTAGATATATATGGAGACATGATTAACTCATATCGGTATAAAAATAATAAATCTTACTTCAGTATTAATTATTAATTTTTGTGTATCAAATGATTATAATTTATTGTTATATCAATAAATTATCGTTAATATATATTGAAGTTAAAATATATCAATAATTTATGGGTTATATACTTCTTTTATCATTGCAGATGGGAAAAAGTGCAGCAACACTTATTTTCATCAGGATACGCGTCTTGCTGATGTGTTTTTTTTTTTGTTAGGCCAGAATATGACCCTGTATCCTAGTGTTAATAATTTGCTGCAACTTTTCTTATCAGCAGCGAAAAGAGAAGCGAAGCATCATTCTTTTATTTTCATTTCTTTTTGATTTTTTTTTACCAACAAAGACTTACTCACGTACAAACAAACGAGAGCATCAAATCAAATCAACAATTAAGCACACGGTGGCAGACCTCTACAAGAAATCGGGTGACAAAAAGTAAAAATAAAAAAGATTTATTAATTAATACCCCAAAATTCAAAGTCTGCTTCAAATTCAAGCTGTTATTCTATCTTTGTATGTATATATACCATACAAAGTCCAAACTTTCTCTCCCTCCCTCCTTCGTTCTCTTTCTCCTTTTTCTTTTTTTCTCCCTTAAATCTCTCTCCCAGACCAGAATATCTCTTCTCCTTTTCTGGGGTTTTTCGTTGGTGACCCTATAGATTCTAGCTAGGGTTTATCACTCACTCACTCACCACCATGGCCGCCGAGAAGCTCAGAGATTTGAGCCAACCGATTGATGTGCCGTTGCTCGATGCCACTGTCGCTGCCTTCTATGGCACCGGATCTAAGGAACAGGTTAGTCTCCGTTTCCCTTTCTAGTGTCGTTACTTTTACGACTCAAACATTTGGCCCAATTCGGCTGCTTCTACTGAGCATTTCGTGGTGGAGAGTTATAGTCTTTCATAACTGTTTGGTGTTCGCACAATGTGTGAAAACATTGAAGCCATAATGAACTTCCACTGTTAGGGTTTCATTAGACTGCTCGTTAACGTGTGGGGATTTCTTCTCCGTACAATAATGGCTCTGGGGAGGTTTTATTATTATTGTTATTTTTTACTGTGAAATTGTTTTGGCCTTTCGTAATTATACTTTCTGGGGATGGTATTGCTTCGAGGCAAACGAACTTGATTTACTAAGAAAGATTTGGGAAATAAAATTTGGTTAGTATCATTGGTGTGGAAAATGTTCTCTTTTTAAATCCTAGCGTGTTCGTTTAATAACGGTTCTTTACTTTTTTTTATGATGCAGAGAACTGCTGCTGACCAAATTTTGCGCGAAATGCAAAATAATCCAGATATGTGGCTTCAAGTCATGCATATTTTACAGAACACTCAAAGTCTAAATACTAAGTTCTTTGCTTTGCAGGTTAGTTTGTTTATTGATATGTTATGTGGGGGTAAACTACTTAAGCCAATTATTTTTTATATATAACACGTAAAACTCTGTCCTGCCTAAAATTTAATGTAAATTTTGGATAATTCCAATTATTTTGCCATTTCATGGAGTCAACATATTTGTTCTGCAATCGAAATGTTGGGTTCCTGGAACAGAGTATACTAAATTATATGTGGTAATGCCCAAATGAATATTCGAGCCTGATTACATTTGTTTTATAAAGGAACAGGATCCATTGACTTATCTCACTACACTTGGCACTATGGTAACCCTCTAAAAAACCATAAACTGTGTTATCACAAGTTTTTTTTTGTCCATTTGTGGTACTTGTATTTGTCTTATAAAAGTGCATTAACTGTGTGAAAATATGAGCTCTTCCTTAGATTTCATGTTCAATTTATTTTTCTCCTGGTTATGATAATGGGGATTTATATTTTTATGAATTTACTCTGTCAGGTATACAGTATACAATTAGGTGCATGTTAGACACCTATGAAACACCGATACACAGAATTTTTTTTCCCAACATATTGAACACACATCCGGTACCGATACTGATATAATCGGAACCCATTATAGGAAATATGGAAGAGAAAGGAGTGTTGGGGAGAGAGCGGAGGGATTTTGTTTTGGTTTTAAAGGGGAGAGTGCGGAGGGATTTCGTTTTGGTTTTAAAGGGGAGAGGGTGGATTTCTCTCATCAACCATGTTTGGGGAAGTAAGTGACACATGGATGGATATCATGAAGGTGATAAAAAGCATTCACCCGAAGCATTACACGTGTGCAAAAGACAGTACTGGGCAGTGACACAGCCACACGTAGATAGGAATAGGATTAATTCGTTTGTGTCTGCTGATGTTGATTATGGTTGAAATGAAGGCGTGGAAGCTGGTTGAAACTGCACGTGGTTATTAAACAAACAAACCAAAAAAAAAGGAAAAGTGTTTGTCATTTTAAATGACAGAAAGTTATGTCATTTTAAAAGAGATACAGACACAGAAAATTTGAATTTTAAATTAAAAAAAACCACCCACTTTCTCTCTCCCATGATTTCTGTTTTTCTATGTCTATATCTCTCCTAAAATGACATAACTTATGATATTTAAAATGACAAACACCAAACCCAAAAAAAAAATAGTATAATTTTATTGTTATTTTTATTCTTTAATAAATTATTTACAAATTATCAACTGAACAAAGTTGCTGCACATATTATATCAAATATTTCTTTTTATTATATTTTGTTAATGTGAAGTACATCTTTATATTAAAAATATTATTTAATACTAAAACGTATCGAAATATTAGTATTTTTGAAGTAACGTATTGGAAACGCTGTGTCGGAATCGGTGCTTCATAGTTAAACACTCCATAGATCATTAGGGAATTTTGAGTAAGGGGCAGAAAAGGGATTTGGGTTGTAATTTTGAGTAAGGGGCAGAAAAAGGAATTTGGGCTGTAACAACCTTGCCTTCTTAGGAGGATGGTGTAACGGAAGGGGAAACAGTTGGAAGCAAAGATAAATGGGAGGGAGAGGTAGGGGAAAAGACACCCAATGATTGTGTGAGCTTTGGGGCGTTTGGGCAGGGAGGTTTGCAGACTCTTGAAGTGCTGCAGTTCTATATTTGTTTTTTAGTTTTGTGACTGATTTTGATCTTTGTAATTGAAGTTTATCACTATTTCCTCATACTGGAATACCTTGATTCTATCAGTGTATAAACCTTTTCATGAGAGGGTAGGGTATATTGCAACAGATTTTATTCTTAGAGGCGTGGGCAGTTACACTGCTATGAGAATCCTGAAGTTATGTTTCATACCTAAGATTGTGACGGTAATTTTGTCTAAAATATCAATGGGGGTTTCTGTTCCTGCAAAAGATTAGAGTTTCTACCATAACCTTGTAAGTTGTAACTGTTGCTAGATAACTATCAACAGTATGTAGAGCAACAATTATAATATTCACTTTTATATAAAAAATATGAATCAGAAACTGTTATTTAGCATCACTTACAGGGCATACTAAAGATAATAATTTATTGTATGGATCAAGGTATATGTGCCTGTGCTAGATTGAACCA